AGAGATATACAAATCTCTCTCTATATATGTATATCCATCCCTTGGTTTAAAAATGACAAAAGGTGACCACAAAAATGTTATTTTTAGTTTGGACTCAGAGTGACAAAAACAGATGTTTTTCATGACGATATCCATACAGTTGACACACTCAAGAGTTGGGTTTTAAATCATACTACCTAGGAATTCCAAAAAAGCTCAAACCAAGAACCTATATTACATAGCCTTGAGTCAGTTATATTTTGGAATGCCCAAAACACAAAACACAAATTTTCTGCAGAAGGATCTACCTTCAACAAAAACTTTGACAGATTCTTGCACATAAAGCCCAGACATTTAAATGTGAGCTTAATCCAAAATGTATTTTTTAAAAAGCAAAATATAAGACTTAGGAGAAATAACCAACAGCAGGGCCGGGTGCGGTGGCTCAAGCCTGTAATCCCAGCACTTTGGGAGGTCGAGGCGGGTGGATCACGAGGTCAAGAGATCGAGACCATCCTGGCCAACATAGTGAAACCCCGTCTCTACTAAAAATACAAAAAATTAGCTGGGCATGGTGGCTCGTGCCTGTAATCCCAGCTACTCAGGAGGCTGAGGCAGGAGAATTGCCTGAACCCAGGAGGCGGAGGTTGCGGTGAGCCGAGATCGCACCATTGCACTCCAGCCTGGGAAACAAGAGCAAAACTCCGTCTCAAAAAAAAATAAAAAATAAAAATAAAAAAATAACCAACAGCAGAAATAAACCACCAAAAACTTTCAAGTATAAAAATCTTGGATGCAAACTATAAAATAAGTATTTTTAAATTATTCAAAAAAAATTGAAATTATGACCTACAAACAAAATGCTATACCAAAAAAAAAAAAAAAAAAATCAGGCTAATTTGAAAAAAGAACCAAAAAGAACCTCTCAAATGGAAAATGAAATCACTCAAATTAAAAATTCAGTAGGTCACATAAACCAAAGATTAATACAGCTAAGAAAATAATGATTTATAGATAAATTACTAACAGGAAGCTCAGAGACATAATGGAGATAATGAAATGCAAAATATGAAAGAAGGTTAAGATACATAAAGAGCAGCACTCGAAGACTCAACAGGTCCTGAAGAGTGGCCCACACGGTGAGGACTGACAGGGCATAATGGTTCCCACCTATAATTCCAGCACTTTGGGAGGCCAAGGTGGGTGGACTCCTTGAGCCCAGGAGTTCAAGACCAGCCTGGGCAACATAGCAAAAACCCATCTCTATAAAATTAAAAATTTAAAAAACCCCAGAAAGTGAAGATAGAGAAACAAGAGAAGCCAAGCATTTCTCTGCAGATTCAATGAGAATAAACCCATATATAGGCACAAGCTTCAACTTCAAGCCACCGAAATTTAAAAAAAAAAAAGACCTTAAAAACAGAGTAAAAAGTTTACCTTCAATGAAATAACAGTTATACGAAAAACACTTTTTTTTTTGCAACAATAACAATGGATTCAGAACAAAGCACTACCCTAAAATTCTGATAGAAGATAGTGTCCATCTCAAGTTGTGTGCTCAGCCAACTATTACCTCATAATTAGAGCAAAATAAATATATTTTAGGCAAACAGAATCTATGTTTAGTCAGGCTCTTGCTAAAGGAATTGCTATAGGAAACACTTCAGATAGGAGTAAAATGATTTCATAAAAAGGTCTGGAATGAAAAAAAGGAAAAGTAAACAAAGAAACCGGTATCAACAAAATAATAAAACACTAAATATGTGAGAAAAGAACAAAATGGAATCTAAAATATGTACAAAAATACAATGTAAGATAGGAGGCAACTGATGAGAATTAGGATACAGCATTGCTAGGGAGGAAAACAGATTTATTTTGGATTTTGTTAAGATTAAGAGTAACCATAGAGTGATTAGAAAAAGGGTTTATGGCTTCCAAACCAGTAGAGAGAGTAAAAACAATTTTAAAATCAAAATTCAGTCAAAAAAGAGAAAGAAAGGAAGGAAGGAAGGAAAGAAAGAAGGAAAGAGGGAGAGAAAGAGGAGAGAAAGAGGGAAAGAGAAAGAGAAAAGGAAAGGACAACATAGTAAAAGGAGGAAAAAAGTAAAGCACGAAACTAGATGGTGACAATCAATCCAACTCAAAAAGAAATCATACGAAATATGTGGGTCAAAGTCATCAATTTCAAAACAAAATTTTAGACCTAGTATTTAATTCAGTAGTAAATTACTTATAAGTGACATATTTGAAACATACAAGTTCTCTCTCCTCCAAGGAAACTAGATTAGATGATAAAAGGCATGAAAGAGAATGAACCTTTGTTTAGAACCCGACTATAATGTACACTCTCATTATTTAAATTATGTCTCAGAGTTAGATTTTATTATTTCCATATTACAGACAGGGGAATTGGGGTGCAGGTGCTTAAAGGCTATACACAGAGTCACGCTTTGTAGTAATTTGCAGAGCAAAGATCTGCAAAGATTTGACTCTTGCTAACATCAACACACTGCCATGTGACACAAAGCAGCTTTCAGACCTGGAAGGTGGTACTGAGAAAGTCTTATGAAAATCAAGTAACAGGTAAAAAGAAAAGCGCTAATCTCTGTTGTTTGTCCCATTAAGTGGTTCTTGATGAATGTGTTTACTTCTTTTGGGCAGTGAACATACAGACCACTGAATTCAGAAATCTGTATATTGTAAACTACTTCATTCATTCTCTACTAAATTCACCTGGTCTGTACAATTTGAAAGGCAGCACATTTTATTCTTTTTGTCTTTCAATTGTTTTTACTCAAAATGTTTTACATAAGGAGTTGAAAGTTTTAGTAAGAATGGGCTAGCCATGCAGGCATCTACCTGCTCATGGTGGGAGTGAATATAAATATTGTCCAGGGAATCGAGAAGAAAGCAGCTGACATGTTTCTGCAAAGAAGAACCCATCTCCTTCTTTCCACCTCTCTCTCTCCCTAAGCAATGCAGATTGGGCCTAAAGTCCTCGCAGGTTAGCTATGCTTCTTCTCAAAGTCAAGCCAGAACTTAAAGTATTTTTTTAAAAAATAAGGTTAAAAAAATAAATAAATAAAGTCAAGCCTGCAATGGAGAGATAGAAACCAAAGGCAAGAGGAAAGAACTGGAACAGAGCTAGAAGCAGTGCGTGTCTAAGTCCACAACATGAAAAGCTTATTTAAAATGCAAGGTGTCAGCTATTTTTTTTTCAACAGCTGACATCTTGCATTTTAAATAAGGCCTAAGTTTTTAGGTACAAATTGTTAAGGTAATACATTTTAATCTGTTTAGGCTTATGCATAGTTTAATCTCGTGTATATAGAATTTTAGTCTTTGCCCGTCTCTAGCTAGCTAACTAGCTGCTCCTCACCCTCTCCGTAGGTGAATGTGCACACACGTGTCTGAGTAAACACTCGGAGAGAAAAATATGATGTTTGACATGTTGTTCACCTAATTTCATGAGAATTTCTAAGTAGTAGTTTTAAATAGTATTTGTTTTTACTTTCACTTTTCTGTGTTGCTTGAATTTGTTTAAAGGAGAATGTACCTTACTAAATTTTTTATAAAATAATTCATGCTTATTGTAGAACATTTAGAAAATATTAAAAAGTATAAAAGAGCAAAATAGGTAGCATTGCTAATTCTATCACTGTTAACATTTTAGTGTGTTTTCAGTCAACTTGAATGTTCAGCTTGGACTCTTACTTTTTTTAACATAATGTATTTTTTCTGTGTCATTAATTATTCTGAGGCATAAAGAATGGGACTACATTCCAAGAGTCCAGAGAGGAAGGAATGATGGTGATCTGGGCTGTGGGAAGAGAAATGAAAGTAAATGATGAACCTGAGAAATATTTAGAGATCAGATTGACAGAACAAAGTGATGGACTTGATGTGTATTTTGAAATAACTTTCAACTTATGTGTTTTATTTTCACAAATGTAAAGTCTCATAAATTATGAGTAAATCATGCACAAAATTGTCATAAATCATGGACAAAGAACGCAAGTGTAACAATGTCTTCACTGGAGATACATGCAAATTTCTTACAGAGTTTTAAATTGTGAATTCATGTGCCAGCATATTTATTTAAAGAGCATAAAGAATAATGTTATGGATATTGTATTTTCTGATTATACTCGGCATTATGAATGTGCATAGTCTTTTCTAAAGATCAGATAGAAATAGCAGGGTCTGAAATGATATAAGAGAAACAGGCTTGGCTCTTAATCAGAAACTTTAGGGCATATTTCTGTCTTCACTACATAACAGTTAAGTCTATTAAAAATCTAAAACTGAAGCAAATTCACCTTTTTATACTCCTTCAATAATTGTGTTTTGAAGGTCTTTGCTACATACTTGAAATATGTTATATTTTCAAAGCTCTCTGACTGATTTTGTGAAGCACATGTGTTTTGTGCTTCACAAAAGCACATTTGGATACTATTAATCAGAAAAGATAAAATAATTACGTAGGTCTGAAGAACTAATTTTAAAATGTTTCTTTAAGATAAACAGTCTATCAACTACATCTTAAATGTCATTGCTTAGGATGACCAACTAAGCAGATTTACAGACAACTGCATGGCTAAAAAGGAATTATTTTGATCTCCTTATCATAAACTATTATGTCCAAAGACAGCAGCAGCATCTCCATCTAACCTGCAGTGAGAAATCTGCTGTTACCAGTGGAATCTCCACTGGCAACAAGAAAGAGAATATACTTAACATTATGCATAATTCCTCAAAGAGTTTTCTCATTTTCAGATTGGCTCAAAAATGATCTGCTAAATAAAATTCTAGCAATTACAGGTAAGAAAGAAGGAACTGTCAGCATTCCATCCTTCAGGCTGTACTTCAGAGCTGCTGTACAAGTCACAAGCTGTTCTTATCAGAAGTCTGCTTTCTTAGTTTTTCTTTACACATTCCAACCTATCATCACATGCTCTGAGATTTCTGTGAGGAAATGAGCACTCTAAAACATAATCATTGGTTGCTATTTTATGACTTACCAGGTCTATGGCACCTGGCCAAGACTCAATCCAGCCAGCCATGTGGCCCTGGGAATGGCCCCTCTGCCGACTGGAAATTTGTCTGCAGGATTGATGCAGCCACCCGAACACCTTCTGAATCCTCAAGGCTCCTTGAAGAATTGCAGGGGAACTCTGCTTCTTTGATTACTGAAACTAGAAGATGCAGCAAGCTCTTCCCAGGACAAAGAGCTGGAATAGAAAGGCAACCATGATACTCACTGGCAACACTGCATCCCCAGATGAAGGTCACTGTAGGTCAAGCTCTAGTAAACCCCATCCACTAAACCTATTTCATGGAGGAGTCGTTCATTCATTCATTCCATAAATATTTACAGAGAGCCTACTGTGTGCCAAGCAGTATTCCCCACATCAGGGCAGAACAGCCAACAAAAAAGGCAAAAACACCTTCGCTCACGGAGCCTACATTTCATGTTTTGAAAGGCTTCTTGGGCCAAAAGAACCCAGAAAGAAGGGCTGCATCCCTTCTCCTGCAGCACCAAAGCAGATACTGCTGCACTCTACAACACACAGATCTAGGAAAATTAGAGCTCTTGGTTACAAATAATAACTAACAACAAAAACTTACAGCAACTGAGATGTTCTGTTTCTTCTACAAAGCTGAATTTCTTTAGTCTTAGTCAACATAAAACTGTATTTTTCTTAGAAAAGCAAAGAGGAAATCAGAGAATGAATAATCTGAACCCTTGGAGTGCAGTGTAAGCCATCTGATAAGTGTAAGCTTATATTTCACTGTTCCGTTTCTTAAAAGGAGATACCTTGTGCTCATTGCCTTAGAGAACAGAAAAACAGAAAAAGAAAACTGTGTCACAGATGCTGGGAAAGCACTTGTATTAGTAACAGAAAACCACAGTAACGTGGGGAGTCACTCTCAGAAAGACTTCAAATCCTCTCTCACTCTCCGGCACATGGGAGGCCTAGGGATCTCTAGAACAAATGGGGAGAAGGATGGATAATATCTTAGCACCATAACTCTCCCAGAAACACAAGATAGATAAACTCCCTGATCCAGGGGCCCTATCTTTCATCTGTTTCTACTCATTTGTAAGAAATCAATGCTTGCTTTCTTATTTAAAGAACAAATCCTGTATCCACCAATTATTCCTGACATCTGATGAGGGATGGGGGCTACAGATGCGAATTTGAAAGAAGAAATATTTTATTTTACAAACTTGATTTGAATATAAGCCCTAAATTTATGTTGACTATATCCAAGAATAAGATTATGCAACCAAAACACAGCAAAAGGAGAGGGGAGTTTTGAGGTTTTTTCCTAATTACAAAGCCTACTAGGAGACTCATAATGGGGGAAACTTTCTCATGGAGATTCTGCAAAACCTAGTGATAAGAAAACAAGAATGTAAGAAGTGTAGTTTATTTCAATTCGTTTTTTGTTATTTTCTCTTTCTTAACCTGTAATATATATTATTTTGCTTGCTCTAAAACTCAGCGCAATGAAAGTGAGCCTTCCTTTTTTGACAGCTGTAGCCCAGTATTTCTGTTAGAAAATTGTAAGTATGCAGTTCTATATCTATATAATATTCATTTTTATAATCTGTAGATCTGAATGGGTGATTAAATTAATTTCATAGATGGCTGACTTGAAATAGCAAAGAGACCACTTCTTAATATATAAGGACAAAAATTAAAATCACTTTGCAATCTTGATCAACTATATCAAATCACAAAGTTGATTAAGAAGCAACACGAACATTCTGTAACTTGAACACAACCCATAATGAGTGTTGCCCAGAGGAAAGCCTTTTAGCAATTCACAATGCACGAATTGCTAACACTGAATTCCTACTTACCCAGAGTGTACAGATTCATTCTCAGGCACAACATATAAAATGCTGGGAAATGCCCAGATTTTTGACTGTGCTGCAGACCTGCAATTGAGCTGTGAGGAATACAGCCTCAGAGGAGAAATAAGAGAGCACAGCTTTCCCATGGCAAAGGGCTCAAGACCTGAACTCTGCTGTGAAGAAGGAGACTATCCCAGAAAGTCCAGGGCAAGAGCTCTCCCAAATTCTTTATCAGCTCATCCTAAGAACTCACCGGATGCTTTCTGCTAGGTTCATTAACAGCTGCAAGACACTCCGTTCTAGGGCCACAGTTCAGGATTCAGTGTTCACAAATTTTTTAATCAAATGAATCAAGAGTAGAGGGTCTGGCCATGAATAATAAAACATAAGGAGGAAATAAGTCACATGGAATGGAATTCTCTCATTGGGTTGAGAATATATACACCCAATACTTCCTTTTTTTTATTCCTTTGTAGGGGAAGAAACATTTTTTTTTTCCTCACCCATCACCAGGATTATGGCTGATGCCCCTGTAACAAAGTACAGATTAACAAGAGAAAAGCACACACATTTATTTAAAAAGTTTTCTGTGGCACAGGAGTCTTCATAAGAAAATGGCCCAAAGAAACAGGAAACTTGTGTATCGTGGGCTTAGTCAGGTTTGAACAGTGGCCGCCGTGGAGTGGTAGAATTGGACAGAGCAGGTATGCTCTCATGGAGATAAACGGGGAATTCAGCAAGGCATGTGTCTTCAGAGATAAGGATGCTTCTTTCCTAAACCTCTCAAATGAGGGCTTATGACCTGCTCCCAGGAGTGGGGCGTGGGCAGAGAGTGACCTTCCTGCTCCTGCTTTTTCTCAAATGCCACATGGGTTATCTCAGCTGATGCCCTTCCTGGGAGACAAAGCCATCTCTGAGTATTTCAGGATTGTAAAATCAACTCCATTCTTTGGATTTACCAAAAGCAGCAGCCTAAAGTTGGTGAAATCAATGTACAAAATGGAATAACTCCTTCACATGACACCTCTGGTTTCAATAGTAACTGTTTTGCCCTTCTCCCACATTCACTACCTTCTTGGTGTCCAAAGATCTGAAAGGTACTTTCTGCCCAGGCGTAATGTTCCCCTTTCTGGGTGGCTTTGAGGCTGGTGGCCTGAGTTGAGACAGCCCCACATCTGAGTTTAGTCCAGCCTCAAGGCCTGAGCCAGCACCCTCTTCAACTTGCATTTTAGCAATTATAGATAACAATAACCAAGAGACTGAATATGTTGCTTTTTTCTTGTTAGTTTGCATTTCTTTATGCCTCCAGTGAAACAATTCCTGGGGAGTTGGATCCATCTCTAAACTCTGCTAAAAATTTTTACCTTTAGTAACTGATCTCAATAGAGCTGCAGCTTCATACTATGGGCAACCACATGGCCACCTGGGAACTGAAGACTCTTTATCCCCCAACCCTTTAATCCTTTCTCTTTTCAAACCATTGGCCTCCGTGAGTCAGGGCTTTTCATGCAAATCCCACTTCACTGACAACAATTATTTAGGGAAAAGCTTTCTCGAACCTTGTTTGTATATTTGTTTTCCCTCTGCTCTCACACCACAAAAATCGTCGGTACAGAAGACTTCTACGACCAAATGTATGGGGGTAGTTTCCTCATGCATCAAGCAGCAGACACAAGTTAGGTGTCCTCTAATTCAATTCTGACACTGTCTACCCGGAGACAGTGTCAGGTCCCATAGGTTAGGGGCTCAGTCCCAAGATTTTCCTCACCTTTCCAGACACTAGTTGCAAGTCGGGGCCTCTAGAACTTCTGACCGGCTTCAAGTTGGAGTTCCCACGATGCCTTCATTGAATCTGATTAATTTGCTGGTGCAGCTCACAGAACTCAGAGAAGCGGGTCTACGAGCTTATTATAAAAGATGCTACAAAAGATACAGATGAAGAGACACATAAGCCAAGGGATGGAGGAAGTGGTGTGGTGCTTCCTTGCCTCCCTAGATGCCACCTCCTCTAGGAACCGCCATGTGTTCAGCTACCCGGAAGCTTTGGTGTCATTTTCCAAATGGCATGGGCTCACTTTGTGTCTGTGTTACATTTTGGTAATTCTAGGATTATTTCAAAATCTGTTACTATATTTGTTACAGTGTTCTGTGATCAGTGACCCCTGGCATTACTGCTGTAACTATTTGGGGCACCCTGAGCTGCATCCATGTAAGACAGCATACTTAATTGATACACATTGTTTGGACTCTGACTGCTTCCCCAGCTGTCTTCCTCTCCTTGGGCCTCCCTACTTTCTGAGACTCAACAATATAAAAATTAGGCCAATTAATAATCCTACAATGGCCTGTAACTGTTCATGTAAAAGGAAGAGTCGCATGCATTTCTCACTTAAAATTGAACACTAGAAATGATTAAACTTCATGAAGAAGTCACGTCAAAAGATGAGGGGGGGCAGAAGCTAGGCCTCTTGGACAAAACAGATAGCCAAATTGTGAATGCAAAGGCAAAGTTCTTGAAGGACATTAATCCAATGGACACACCGTGGTAAGAAAATGAAATTGCATTATTGCTGGTGTGGAGAGTTTAATGGTCTGGATAAAAGGCCCAACCAGCGTAACATTCCATTAAACCAAATTCTAATTCAGGGGAAGGCCCTGAACTCTATTCAATTCTCTAAGGGCTAAGAGAAGTGTGGAAGCTGCAGAGGAAAAGTCTGAAGCTAGCAGAGATTGGTTCATGAGGTTTAAGGAAGGAGGATCTCGCCGTAACATAATAGTGCAAGGTGAGGCAGGAAGTATGATGGCAGCAAGCTATCCAGAAGATCTAGTTCAGATCATTGACAAAGGTAGCTACCCTAAACAACAGATTTTCAGTGTTGATGAAACAGCCTTCTACCGGAAATGTATGTTATCTAGGACTTTCACGGTTAGAGAGAAAAAGGCAATGCCTGGCTTCAAAGCTTCAAAGGACAGGCTGAGTCTTGTTAGGGTTAATGCATCTGGTTACTTTAAGTTGAAACCGATGCGCACCTACCATTCTGAAAATTCCAGGGCCCTTAAAACATATGCTGAATCTACTCCGCCTGTGCTCTATAAATGGAACAACAAACCCTGAATGACAGCACATCTATTTATACTGCAGTTTACTCAATTTTTTTTTTTTTAAGATGGAGTCCCACTCTGTCACCCAGGCTGGAGCGCAGTGGTGCAATCTCGACTCACTTCAACCTCTGCCTCCCAGGTTCAAGCAATTCTCCTGCCTCAGCCTCCTGAGTAGCTGGGATGACGGGCACGTGCCACCAGGCCCAGCTGATTTGTGTATTTTTTTTAGTAGAGATGGAGTTTCACCATGTTAGTCAGGCTGCTCTTGAACTCCAGACCTCGTGTGAACCACCCACCTCAGCCTCCCAAAGTGCTGGGATTACAGGTGGGAGCCACTGCATCCGGCTGGTTTACTCAATATTTTAAGCTCACTGTTGATACCTACTGCTCAGAGAACAAGATTTTTTCAAAATATTGCTAATCCTTGACAATGTACCTGGTCACTTAAGAGCTCTGATGGAGATATACAAGGAAATAAATTTGTTTTCATGCCTGCTAATAGAAGATCATTCTGAAGCTCAGGGATGAAGGAGTAATTTCCATTTTCATGTCTTCTTATTTAAGAAATACATTGCAAACAGTTTTAACTGTCATAGTTATGATTCCTCTGATGTATCTGAGCAAAGTAAACTGAAAACCTTATGGAAGGGACTCACCATTCTCGATGCCATTGAGAACATTCGCGATTCATGGGAGGAGGTCAAAAATATCAACATTAACAGGAGTTTGGAAGACGTTGATTAAAATTATCATGGATAGCTTTAAGGAGTTCAAGACTTCAGTGGGAAAAATAACTGCAGACATGGTAGAAAGAGCAAGAGAACTAGAACGTGAAGTGGAGCCTAAAGATGTGACTGAATTGCTGCAATCTAATGATAAAACTTGAAGAAATAAGGACTTGATTTTTATGGATGAGCAAAAAATGTGTAAATTTTTTTGAGATGAAATCTCCTGGTGAAGATACTATGAACATTGTTGAAATGACAACAAAGGATTTAGAATATTCAATAAACTTAGTTGCTATAGAAGCAGCAGGGTTTGAGAGAACTGACTCTAATTTTGAAAGAAGTTCTACTGTGGGTAAATTTCTGTCAGTATTACATGCCACAAAGAAATTTTTCATGAAAAGAAGGATCAACAGATGTGGCAAACTTCACTGTTGTCTTATTTTAAGAAATTGCTGGTAGGGCGCAGTGGCTTACGGCTGTAATCCCAGCACTTTGGGAGGCTGAGGTGGGTGGATCACCTGAGGTCAGGAGTTTGAGACCAACCTGGACAACATGGTGAAACCCTGACTCTACTGAAAATACAAAGTTAGCCAGGTGTGGTGTTGGGTGCCTATAATCCCAGCTACTTGAGAGGCTGAGGCAAAAGAATCACTTGAACCTGGGAGGCAGAGGTTGCAGTGGGCCAATATCCTGTCACTGCACTCCAGCCTGGGTAACAGAGTGAGACTCTATCTCAAGAAAAAAAAAAAGAAATTGTCACAGACACTCCAACCTTCAGTACCCACCACCCTGATCTGTCAGTAGCAATCAACATAGAGGCAGGACCCCTACCTCCACCACAATCAACAAAAAGATTACAACTCACTGAAGGCTCAGATGATCAGTAGCATTTTTATTGATGAATTATTTTAAACTAAGGGATGTACACTGGTATTTTTAGACATAATGCAATTGTACTCTTAACAGACTAGAATATAGTGTAAACATGACTTTCATCATGTTTTTTGCAAAACCAAAAAATTTGTGTGACTCACTTTATTGCAATGTTTGCTTTATTTGAGTAGTCTGGAACTGAACTTGTAATATTTCCAAGGTATGTCCACAAACGGGACAGAGATACAGTGAGTCATTAATGGTCAAGAAACCAAGATATCTGGTGATAGTAAACTGGCCTTAAGATTGAGGAACTGTCAAGAAGAATGTGGGCCCGTTATTGTCCTCATTCATGCTTGCAATACTAACCTGCATGCCACTTACGCCAAGAACTATTTTAAGAGACAGAGATGCAGCAACGAACAAAACAGTCTCTCTGCTCTCATGCAGCTTGCATAGGGGACAGTGGGAGCAGACAGTGAAGAAATCTGAAAGTGTGTATACAAGATGGGTCAGATGGTAAGAAGTGCTTTAAAGGGGAATGAAGTTAGAATAACAGAATAGAGAGTGAGAAGGTGCCATTTTAAGTGAAATGGTCAGAGAAGATTCTTCTTATGACAGTGTAATAATTAAGCAAAGGCCTGGATAAGAGAGGAAGTAAGCCATGCTGATACCTGATGAAAAAGCATTCCAGGCCAAGGGGAGCACACGTGCAAAGGCCTTGAGGCAGAAGCACATCTGGTTGGTGTCTCTGAAGACTGCAAGAATAGAGCGGAGACTGATTGGACTAAAGATCTGAGAAGGGTCAGGGGACAAGATGGTTTAAGACCTTGCTAGCCGCAGAAGGTTTTAAGCAGATGAAAAACATTATTTGCCTTATGCTTTAAAAGACTTACTCTGGATCCCCTCAGGTCAGGAGTTCGAGACCAGCCTGGTCAACATGGTGAAACCCTGACTCTACTAAAAATACAAAAATTAGCCAGGGTTGGTGGTGCATGCCTGTAGTATCAGCTACTGAGGAGGCTGAGGTAGGAGAATCATTCAAACCCAGGAGGCAGAGGTTGGGGTGAGCCCAGGTTGTGCCACTGCACTCCAGCCTGGTGACAGAGTGAGACTCTGTCTCAAAAAAAAAGACACTCTGTTTGCTCAGTGAAGAGCAAAGAGCAGGGAGCATGAGAGAGTAAGTGGGAGAGGAGTCAGGAGGCTGTTGCCATAATCCATGAAAACAATGACACAAAGTGAGGCTGGGTGCACACAGTGGGTGTGGCAAGCGGACCTGGGGAGCTGAATACAGTTCAACACTGTATGCTGATAGGAGGGGTAAGAAGCAAAGAGGGGTCAGGGCAAGTTTTCTGGCCTAACAGCTGGTATGATGGAGGTACTATTTACTGAGATGGAGAGGACTGAGCAGGGTAGGGCCCAGGGCTTGAAGGTGGAGGATCAAGAATTCCCTTATATGATAACTGAGTTGTCTATTAAGCTTCCAAGTAGTTATAATTAGCAGATAATTAAATATGAGTTTAAATTTTAGAGGAGAGGTAGGAGCTGGAAATATGCATTCATGAACCGTGCACATATACGTGGAATTTAATGTCATCCGGCTTCATGAGATCATATAGTCATGAGTGTACCCAAGAAAAGGGCTGAGGACTTTTAAGCATGTTAAAAGATAAATGTTCCTTTTACATGTTGAATTTATGGCAATGATGGCACAGTAGACAACTGCTGAACTATACTCAGTTCATAGTAAAATGTTAAAACAAAATTCCAGTTTCATTGAATCACCGAATGGAATTTAAAATTCAGAATACTTGCACAGATGTCAAATATCTTAATAAAGATGAAAGCCTAAATTCAGATTGGTGGCCTAGACTCTGCCTTCCTTGATCGTCTATTTAAAAATAACAATAATGATAATAGTAAGAAGAAAATACGTATGAATCACTAGATATGTTGCAATACACTGAAAGATAGATCCATTTCTTTTCTACTATACCATTGTAAATATCAATCTATAAATTAGTTTTATCAGAAAGGCACAGTCACTCTCAAGCCAACGCAACTTATAAATACAGGGCAAGGGCCTGATGTGGGTAGGCTGAAAAAATAATTGAGAGAACAAGTAGATATGAAGCTAACAAATAACACTGTCAACCAGAATTAGGGAGATGAGCCAGAAGCAGCACAAGTGACAGGTCGAGACAGGTAGACAGACAA